GGGACCCAACAAGCTCTAGGTATGGCTCAGTGCATGCCTCTGGTGTGGGTATAGCTGGAGCGGTGAGGAGGTGTTGCAGCGGCAGTCGGGTGGCCATAGGTGTGCATAGCTCCATCTCAAGCCGCTTGAGCACATTGTTGATGTAGAACTCCTGGGAGAGTGAGATGGTGCGAGCCTGACGATCCCCAGGTAGTGTTTGAGGTCACCGAGGTCTTTCATCAAGAGGGCCTTGCTTAGGGCCTCCTGGACAGAGGTCATCTGGGCCGAGTCCTTGGCAACGAGGATGAAGTCATCGACGTAGACCATGATGTAGAATGGCTTAGAGTGACGACGAATGAAGAGGGTCGGGTCAGCTGAGGATGGGCGGAAGTCCAATGAGAGAAGGACATCTTTCATTTTGTTGTGCCATTCACGAGGGGTTTGCTTGAGGCCGTAAACGGGGCGATTCAGCTTGTTGAGAGTGTTGGGAGGGAACTCTCCTGGAAAGCCTTCAGGTCGATCCAAGAACACAATCTCCTTGAGATGTCCTTGTACGAAAGCCGACGAGGCGTCCATGGATTTGATCTCAAAGTCTTCTCGTGCTGCCACATTCAAGAGCGTGCGAACGGTGGGTGGTTTGGATGTGGGGGAGAAAGTCTTGAAGAAGTCAAAGTACTGCTGCTGAGTGAACCCCTTAGCCACGTAGCGCGCTTTGAACACTGGGGCCTCGTCCGGAAGTTGTTTCACTCGAAATAGCCACTTGCCCCAAACGATGTTGACTCCGGGAGGTGGAGTTTCGTCGTCGAAGGAGTGGTTGCGAGTGAAGGCTTCACACTCAGCTTCCATGGCAGCACCCCACTCGGCAGTATGTAGACTCGAAAAAGCCTCTTGGACGGTGGAAGGAATAGGGATGGTCGGGTTCTTCGAGAAGTTGAGTGAGGGTGATTCAGTGATATCAAGGAAGATGTGCGAGAGCTGGGGAATGACAGCGTGGAGATCACACAGCTCCTCATGCTTGTCTTCCAGAAGGGTAGGAGGCACATCCCCCCCAGCAGGAGGAGGCAGAGTGATCGCGGAGTATTGAATAGCAAGTGCTAGTGGAGGAGCAGCCCCATGCGACCGAGTGCCATGAGCCACCGGGGAGGAGGGTGGAGCGGGCGGCACTGGAGGGGTCGGTTTAGGGGGTTGGGGCGGAGGGATCGGTCGACGCTGGTAGGTGATCAGCTTGCTCGGTTGTGGGAGAGCTGGTTCTTGAGTGGAAGAGGGAGCGGGGGGAGGAGGTGGGGCTGGAGGGTTCGATCGCCGATGGTATGTGATTGGTGCGCTTGGAGGTTGGGGCGTAGTTGGGATTGTGGGAGAGGAGGGAGATGGAGGAGCAGCTGCTGATGACACCGGTGAGGTTGTATCAGAGACCCCAGAAGGAGATGGTTCGATCGAAGGTGAGGGAGCTAGTGCAGGCGGAAGGTCAGGAGGTGCATCGAAGTCAGCCCACACGAGAGAGGGTGGTCCTGAGGGGGGATCCCCCCCGAGGTGGAGTAGAAGGGGCGGGTCTCATAAAAAACAACGTCGCAGCTTCGGACTAATTGTTGAGTGGAGGGGTTGAGGAAGAGGTAGTCAGGAGAGTCGACGTTGTGCCCGAGGTAAATGCACGTTTGAGTCTTGGGGCCGAGTTTACCACCTTGCTGTCGCCGAGCCTGAGGGTTAAGGAGGACATAGGCGGTGCACCCCCAGACGCGGAGAGGGCGAGCAGTGGGTGTTTTCCCGAGCCAGAGTGTAGTGGGAGTGGTGTCGGGAAGATGCAGGTGGGGGTAAAGGTTGTAGAGGAGGGTAGCATGGTAGAGGGCGTATCCCCAGAGAGAGAGAGAGAGGAGCGTGGGAGTGGCTGAGGAGGCAGCGAGCGCTCTGGACCAAGGTGTGGTTGCGGCTCTCTGCTATGCCGTTCTGCTGCGGGCTGTGAGGAAGGGTGAAGTTTTGCAGAATGCCTTCTGAAGAGCAGAAGGCTTTGAGCTTGTCGTTGCAAAATTCACCACCACCATCTGAGTGGAGGCGCTTGACCTTGCGGTCAAAGGTGGTCTGTGCCTGATTGACCTACGCCATGATAGCCTCTGCAGCCTCAGCCTTAGTGTGGAGAAGGTGCACAGAGACGTAGCGGGAGTGGTCATCAACTATTACAAGGAAATAGCGATAGCCGCCCCGTGCGGGAACAGGGGCAGGGCCCCAGACGTCCATGTGCACTAGGTCCAGTGGGGCTGCTGCAACTGAGGGTGAGGCAGGGTGGGGCTGTTGGCGCAACTTGCTCTTGGTACAATCAAGGCATGAGGGAGCGGGGGAGTCAGGTGGTGGAGGAAGTGAGGCTGGTAGGCCGAGAAGTAGCTTCTTGGAGGCCATGTCAGCAAGTGTGCGGAAGTTTGGGTGCCCGAGCCGATGGTGGTAGAGGATTGTCCGATTAGCGAAATTGCGACATGAGCATGGAGTGATGTCAGCCTGTGCTTGGGTGGTTGACCCGTGTGGGATAGGTACACACAACGTGTAGAGGCCACTGCTGTTGAGGGTGAAGCGAGCTAGGACCTTGTTGGTGAGTGGGTCAATGATGTCACAGTAGTCCTTGAATTCTGAGATTATGGTGCAGAGCCGAGCCTCTTGAAGTTCCTTTTGGGCTAGTAGATTGTGGCATAGTGAGGGCACGCACATGTCAGTGACAGTGCTGGATGGAAATGCGGGGCATGGGACAGTGGACGAACCCTTCGCAAAAGTGGTGAAGCTTGAATCAGCTCCCAAGAGAGGGATGGGTTTAGAGTAGGGTTTGAAAGAGAGTGTCTCCTTGAGCACTGTGTGAGTGGCACCACTGTCGAGTGTGACTTCTATGTATTGTGGTGCTTGTGATGAGCCGATGTACTGGGAGCTTGCTTCATTGATCATGGCAGTGCCAGGGTTCAGCAAGTTGATACGTACATCAGCAGGAGCACTATCACTTGCACTAGCCGAAGCGGGGTCCTGGACCTCAACTAGGTTGGTCTTGCGAGGGCGTATCCAGTTCGGCGGCTTCTTGTCGACTCCGTGTATGGCATACCATTCGTCGTCTTTCTTCTTGAAGCACGTAGCGAGGGGGTGGTTGGTGCCACCACACACTTGTCCGTTGCGGTTGCCATACTTGACGACGTGGGTGCACGGAGGAAAGCGGTTGCGCTGGAAGAGTGCCGAGGCGACACTTGCTTGAGGCACGGGAGCACGGAGGGCATAAGCCTTGGCTTGAGCCGTGGAGTCTTTCTCTACAGAGAGGAGGGCGGAGGAGACCTTAGCAAAAGTGAGGTCTTCCGCCGAGGATGTGAGGAGCATCTTCCTCGTGACTTCATATGCCGAGGTGAGGCCAACAAGAAAGGCGGCTGCAGGAGCTTGTTCGGGCAGTTCGCCATGAATGGTCTGCACCTTGGCAATGTAGTTGGCCATTCGCGAGCAATCCTCAAGATGGACCTGGAACATGCTGGGGATGAGAATGGCCACTCCGACTGCCGTCTTGTTCATGAAGCGATCCTGGAGATACTTCCAAATGGCATTGGAGGTGGGATAGTTGTGGAAAGTGTTGACAAGTTCGGGAGGGGTGGATCTGATGAAGACGTTGATGATAGCAGCATCGGTCTTCTCCCATTTACGGCATTTGTCAACAGCATCCTCGTACGCCTTCATGTCAGCATCACTTGCAGGATCGGTCGGCTCACTGGGGAGAGGGGGCTGTTTTCCCTTGCCACGGTTGAGAAAGACATCCTTGAGGTCCAATCCCTGCACGTCACGACTCAGGAGGTGCTTGTCAACCCCGTAGCTCCATGCCTTGAAGTTGGAGCTGGTGCCGTCGACTTCAAGGCAAAGTGGGGTGATGGGTTGGCGAAGGTGGACGAGGTGAAGGCCATGATGAAGAACCAATTTTAGAACTGTCGGCTAACTGCTAACCCTGGTCCCCCCCCGGCCCTGTCCCTCAGCTTCGCGGCTTCGCTGCTACACTGCTGCTCGGCTACACCTGTTCAGCTGCGGGGTGACACAAGTGCCGTAGCGGGGCGACGGGCGGCAGCCCGAAGATGACGCTGCAGGGCGACGGGCGTCAGCCCGACGTGAAGCTGCAGGGCGACAGGCGGCAGCCCGAAGGTGACGCTGCAGGGCGATGGGCGGCAGCCCGACGTGAAGTGCTGCTGCAGGGCGACGGGCGGCAGCCCGAAGATTGACGAGATGAGAAAGGAAAGTTTTACGCCGAAGCGGGAAGAACAGCGGGACAGAGCAGTGGTGATTCGGGACGAGTGGCGAGAGAACGCTAGGGATGGGTACCTTTGGCGAAGTGCAGAAACCAGTGCACTGTGACAGTGAGAAAGGTAGCGCGAGGGAAAGTTTGCCCACGGGAGATTTCGCGAATGACGGCGACGAGAACGGCGCGGGAAAAATTCCGGCCAGGAAGATCAGTTCGATGACGAAACGTCGAGCGAGGAATGTTGAAGGCGGCTTCGCTTAAGAGTGCGGGAGAGGATTCCACAGAGGTAAAAGGATCAAGATCCGCATGTGCGGTTGAAGAGCTCTGATACCATGTCAGAACTAGAGCTTAGAATCCATGGATTAGTAGTGAGCTCAAAGCTCTTTAAGTACATCAGAAATGAGCAAGTTATGGATGGGGAGGGAATCGGGGGCAATCCTAGGGAATTGGGAGTAATCCCAAGGCAATCTCCAATTGGTGGGTTGGAGATTGCTTGGAGATCACATTTGGGTTTTGTTGGGATGTGGGTGTACACCCAACCAAACACAAAGTGTAAACTACACTAAACTAGGATATAAAAAATACAAGTACAAAATGTGAGATTGAGGGCTAACATTAACATTGCCTTGTCCCTGCAGCAAGCATGGAGTCTCCTCTCACCTGCGCTTGCCTCTTTGCCGTACTCTCACCCCCTCTGCTGCTTCCACCTTCCCTCGCTCTCTGCTCACTCCCACCTCCTGCCTCCTTGCCTTTGCCCACTTACTGTCACTCTCTGCTGTGCAATCAGGACGGCTGCCCGTTCATCTGCCCGAGGCATCAGTGCAAGCAGTGGGGGTGCCGGGCAGCAGTGGCCGTGGTGTGCCGCAGCTGCCCCTCCTCCTGGTGCTCCCTGCACGTGCCACCCTCCTCTGTCGACTGCGAGCCCTCGTTTCTGAGAAGGTTCCGTGTGCAGCCGCAAGTGCGCATCACCATCTGCCCCTCCTGCCAGGTGGGTGTGGGAATTGCTGGGCGTGGGGGTTGGGTGCATGGCGATCTGGGCGTGGGGGTTGGGTGCATGGCGAGTGGAGGGTTGCTGGGTGTGTGGAGGGTTGCTGGGTGTGTGGAGGGTTGCTGGGTGTGTGGAGGGTTGCTGGGTGTGTGGAGGGTTGCTGGGTGTGTGGAGGGTTGCTGGGTGTGTGAAGGGTTGCTGGGTGTGTGGAGGGTTGCTGGGTGTGTGGAGGGTTGCTGGGTGTGTGGAGGGTTGCTGGGTGTGTGGAGGGTTGCTGGGTGTGTGGAGGGTTGCTGGGTGTGTGGAGGGTTGCTGGGTGTGTGGAGGGTTGCTGGGTGTGTGGAGGGTTGCTGGGTGTGTGGAGGGTTGCTGGGTGTGTGGAGGGTTGCTGGGTGTGTGGAGGGTTGCTGGGTGTGTGGAGGGTTGCTGGGTGTGTGGAGGGTTGCTGGGTGTGTGGGTTGGGTGCAAAGTTACATGTGTGTGTGATCCAGACATAGCTCAGTGAGCTGCGTGCGTGCAGGAGGCTTAAAGCAAAGGAAAAACAGCAGTAGATTTCTGCTCTGTGTACCACTAAGTGCTCAAAACGATCTCAGAACCCGAATTCTTAGCAGTAGAGTGAAACAGGGACAAACATGTTTCGGCCTATCACGGGGAAAAACCCGATCAGACCTTCATCAGTGCCAACAATGGAAAAGAAGGGCTAAGCAATGCTTCTAAAAAGAAACAAAACCTCTAAGAAATCGAGCTCTAGGTTATCCACACCCAGGTCACCCAAATGTCGGGGACCAATCCAGACCACCTTCGAAAACTTCAGGCAGCCACGTCTTCAAATTCCTCGGAAGTGTCAGCGTGAGGGGTTGGGTTCAGATTTTCGCCACGGGGCAACTTCGGAAGTCGCGCGCGCACCAGTAACCGCTGCAGGTTACAACCAATTTTCCACGCAACAAACATTCTCTCCACATATAATCCGTGTGTGAAGAGGCAATTTTTGTGTTTCTATGTGCGCATGGAGGTGCGTTTGCGCTAGCATGTGCAAATATACGCATGTCTGCATGCCTGCTTGCATGTGTGGTGCATGTGTGTGCTCTTTAATCTTGAAGGACACAATCATGGCTTTGATCGATGGCATCACACACACCTGCACTCCCTCACATGCACGCCCTCACATGCCCGCCCTCACATGCCCGCCCTCACATGCCCGCCCGTCTCCCCAAGCATCTCGTGGCCTGCCAGCACACTATGTGCCCACAGCCACTGCAGTGAGCCACCGTTATGGCAAGCGGCCGCGGAGAAGCGTCCTCACTGTGGGTGGTCAACCGCTATGCTTCTGCCCCGCCATGCCCGTGGGCGTTGCCTACCCAACCACTCATTTCCCTCATCGCCCCCCCCACACCCCCCCCCTTGCGGGCCCCTGGCAGGAGTTGGAGCAGAGTGTGCCCTTCCAGAGCCACAGTGTGCGGGGCGGAGCGCCTGCTGCCGCTGCTGCTGCTACTGTGCAGACTGTGAGAGGGCATCAGCCACTCGTGCAAGGGGCCGCACAGCAGCAAGAGCAGCAGCAACAGCGTCACGAGGAGCAACAGCAGCAGCAGCAGCATCAGCAGCAGCAGCAGCAGCAGCAGCAGCAGCAGCAGCAGCAGCAGCAGCAGCAGCAGCAGCAGCAGCAGCAGCAGCAGCAGCAGCAGCAGCAGCAGCAGCAGCAGCAGCAGCAGCAGCAGCAGCAGCAGCAGCAGCAGCAGCAGCAGCAGCAGCCAGCAGCAGCAGCAGCAGCAGCAGCAGCAGCAGCAGCAGCAGCAGCAGCAGCAGCAGCAGCAGCAGCAGCAGCAGCAGCAGCAGCAGCAGCAGCAGCAGCAGCAGCAGCAGCAGCAGCAGCAGCAGCAGCAGCAGCAGCAGCAGCAGCAGCAGCAGCAGCAGCAGCAGCAGCAGCAGCAGCAGCAGCAGCAGCAGCAGCAGCACAGCAGCAGCAGCAGCAGCAGCAGCAGCAGCAGCAGCAGCAGCGCAGCAGCAGCAGCAGCAGCAGCAGCAGCAGCAGCAGCAGCAGCAGCAGCAGCAGCAGCAGCAGCAGCAGCAGCAGCAGCAGCAGCAGCAGCAGCAGCAGCAGCAGCAGCAGCAGCAGCAGCAGCAGCAGCAGCAGCAGCAGCAGCAGCAGCAGCAGCAGCAGCCAGCAGCAGCAGCAGCAGCAGCAGCAGCAGCAGCAGCAGCAGCAGCAGCAGCAGCAGCAGCCAGCAGCAGCAGCAGCAGCAGCAGCAGCAGCAGCAGCAGCAGCAGCAGCAGCAGCAGCAGCAGCAGCAGCAGCAGCAGCAGCAGCAGCAGCAGCAGCAGCAGCAGCAGCAGCAGCAGCAGCAGCAGCAGCAGCAGCAGCAGCAGCAGCAGCAGCAGCAGGAACAACAGCATCAGCAGCACCAGCAACAACAGCGTCAACAGCAACAGCACAAGCAGCAGCAGCAGCAGCAGCAGCAGGTGCAGCAGCAACGACAACAACTGTTGCAGCAAAGGCAGCAGCAGGAGCAGCAGCAGCAGCAGCAATTGTTGCAGCAACGGCAGCAGCAGGAGGCAGTTGAAAGCACAGGAGGGGCGGCAGGCGGGGCGAGAGGGAGTGGCATGATGGGTGGGATGGGTGCAGGCAGGGTGAGCGCTGTGGACGCTCATGGTGGCATGGCGGCAGCAGGTGGGATGGTGGCAGCCGGTGGGGCCACGGGGACAGGTGGAGGTGCGCAGGGAGGCCGTGACATGCATGGGGTAGCAGGGATGGGCATGGCGGTGCATGGGGTGATGGGTCAGTATGCCCCTGTCATGGGACAGCACCCCATCATGGGCCTTCAGCCACAGCAGCAGCCGCAGATGGGGCAGCAACAGGCGGCACAGCAGCAGGTGATGGGTCAAGGCGTCACATCAGCATCAAGGCAGCAGGGGCTTATCATGGGGCAGCATGCAGCAGCAGCAGCATCGGCAGGGGTGGGAGCTCCAGTCATGGCAGCAGCAGCAGGTGGGGCAGCAGGGGCAAGGGAGTGGGCGGAGGTGTTGGAGGAGATTCGGTTTGTGCCCAACAACCGCCCTGCTGACATCTTCAACCTCCTCCAGCTGGTGAGACGCCCCTGTCTGGTGAGACGCGCTTCAAGGCGAGGTGAGACGCACACTTGCACGACAGCAAGCGTGTGTCTGCCATGATCCGCCCTGCCATCCCGCGCTGACCGTCGACTCGTTCTCACTCAACTTCTCCCTTCCCCCCTACCCATTTGTGCCGCTCCTCCCCCAGGCGCTGCCGCTAGCAAGGGCGCAGGGCTTGGCACCAGAGGCGTTGGCAGTGTTGGAGCGAGCTGCCTCCGCCGCCGCTGCTGCTGCCTCCTCTCCCTCGTCCCTCCCTGCTGGCCCCAGCCCTGGCTCCTACCGCCCCTCCGGCGCTGCTGCTGCTGCCAAGACCATGGCCCTGCAGGTGGGTGTGGCACAGTGTGAGTTTGGGGGAAGGGGGGAGTTGGAGTGGGGGGGATGAGGGATGCGGAGAGTATGGATAAGCACAACAGATGAAAAAAGTTATGCCGAACTTCCTTCCATGTTGCTGCTGCCTCGTCGTCGTGTCCTCCTAATGGTGATCTGTGCGCGTATTGCCTGGTGTATGATGTACGGCCGTGTGTGTGCCTGGTTCATGGTGCATGGTGAATGGTGAATGGTGCATGGTGGATGGCGCATGGTGCATGCTGCATGCTGCATGGTGCATGGTGCATGGTGGCAGGTGATTGAGATGTATCGCAACATGCCAACATACCGACCCACACAGAATGCACCACGGCCACACCCCTACTTTGGCTTCCCTGGCATCTAAGCGACCGCAAGCAACCTCTCTTGCACTTGCCAAGCATCCTCCCAACTTCCAAGTGTGACTGGCTAGTGTATCGCACCGTGCTCCTGTTTGGTTTCACACATGCACTTGCAGTTGAGGCAAACTGAATTAAATGGCTTCGGGCAAATACATTCAACTTGTCGGGTCGTCCCTGCTCTGTCAGTTCAGCTCACTTGATAAATCAGCTGTGGCCAAAATAATTCCTTACTGTTGAAGTGTTTCACATTAGAACCTTGCGTGCAAGAACTTGTGATTATATTTTCCAAAACGTATCACAACACCAGGCCCCCAGATTCAATTTTAGGGAGGCTGGTCCACAGCAGGGACTCAGATACGGTACCGTATTGCCCCGGATATAAGCGCCGTCCTATTAAAAGCGTCGGCGCTTCTCTGGAGCAATGTGCTTATTGCCGGTCCTCGATTATACCGTAAACCCCCGGATATAAGACCCTAGGATCTTATCATAATCGCACCTAAAAAAATGGGGGGGGGGGGGGGGGGGGTCTAAATATGTGGCATATATACTATAAGACCCGGGTCTATACAAATTGATTTTTTTAGATACATGTTTTTGGGCACGTACAAGTGAATGGGAAATGTTCCGTTTTAGCACTCCAAGAAAATACGCGAAACCATGTCCTTGAGGTCTGACACACGTCAACACAAAATCAAGCTGGGAGGGTTCTCTCATTGGCCAGAATTGGCGACCACATCAAGCATAGAGGCACCGCGTGGTGGGCCCAGTGCACAGTGTCGCCTCGGCCTTCACACCCCATGCACGCTGCGAGGGGGCTGCACAGTATTGGTTAGGGGGTGCTCTACACCAAGTAGCTGGCACGTCCCTGTGTGTAGGCTATACTTCACATCCTTCTCCTCTTGTTTCTTCTCCCCAGCACTAGATAGGGGGGTCTTATATTGTAAGGTGCCAAATAGGGGGGTATATCTCGACTAGACTCGAATAGAGTACCCCTCCAGTATTATACACCTGGGGGTCTACAACTGGAGGAGGTCTTATATTCGGGGGTTTACGGTAAGCGCATCCCTTTTGAACCCTGTACACCTTTTAGTTGATCTTGAGTTTTAATACCTACTTAAAGAGACATTTAACCTAACCATTTTCATAAGTCCACCTAATTACAGTCAACCATGATTAACCACTAACAACTTTTCAAAGTTTAACATTTCTAGCAAGGGCAAAACATTTTTCAAAGTTTCAAAGTCTAGCTAGGGTCTAGTCCTCCTCGTTTGACTTGGGCTCCTGGCAATTATTGCCCTAGAAGCCATCGGCGGTGATCTCATCGTCCACGTCCACTTTCACTGTTAGCCGGCTCCTCCTCTGCGCCACGGCGAGCCCGTCCTCACTCACGTCAAGCACGTTCCTGATACCGCAGGTGAGGAAGGCCTTCTTTATGAGGTCGGCGGGCACTTCCTTCCAGGCCCGGGAGATCCACCGGAGCACCACCGCCGCAGGCGGCTTCTTGATGTTCCCTGCACCACATGAAAGAGAGGGGCAGGGCGGTTAGAGCTTCGGGGGGGGGGGGGGGGGGGGGGCATCAAATGAGCTCATGTTTATAAAACTGTATCTATCTTACTTACAGGTGTCAGCGTCTCCATGCCGTCCTCCTCAAACCAACTCTGGTACTGCTATCGGACGGAGGCCTTGAAGCTCTTGTTGACCGACACGTCCAAGGGCTGTACCTCCGCCGTACAGCCCCCCGGGATCACTGCCGGCACGATGTTGAGCTCGGCAAACTTCTTCTTCACCTCGTCCGTGAGGTGACCGCAGTACAAATCGAGCACGAGCATCGCGCTCTTCGCCTGCCTTCCGAACTGGGGCCTTATGAAGGGCTTTCGTCAATCCACCGCGTGACGGCCGCGGCGTCCATCCTGCCGTTCTCGTGGCACGCCACAACGACATCTGCGCAATTAAGAGCGGGTTGTTAATCCATTAAATAATAAAAACACACATCACACAACAATTGAACACACTAAATCGCATACCGGCCGGGAAATCTCCATTCGGCACGGTCTTGCGCTTGAAACAACACCCACGGCTTCAACTTCTCCCCATATGCTGTGCACGCCAGCATCATCGTTACACACTCCTTCTGGTAACCGCCATTTTTTATAAGCACTGATTTCACGCCCGTCCAATCCATTGTGGTGGTTGTCGACATCTCCAGCCACAGCGGCGTCTGGTTGGTGTAGATGATCCAGTGGGTTTCGATGCCTCGCTCATGATGATGATCGCGGACGAACTGCCAGAACTTTGAGCACTACTCCGCAAAATCCGTGAGTGTGGAGGAGGGGGTGGGGAGAAGCACAGGTTAGCGAATCACATGGAATACAAGCTCCTTAAAAAAAACCACAAGGTAAATCTTACGGGCGGAGGTTTTCTGGGCCACCTTTGTCTTCATGCGCACGCTCAGATTCCACAGCCGGTGAAACCGGTCCGACCACCATTGGCTCCCCTTCCACTTCACGTCTGGGTAAAGTACCTTCATGTACTCCCACAACCACTCATGCAAACGACCGACTCCCTTGTGCCTCCCATCGAGGAGCTTCGCGTACACCATGAGCTCCATCGGCCGGTACCACGATGCTTTGCTGCGACCGTGCATGCGCTTTTGTGCACCGTGAGACTCTTTGAGGACCTCCGCAACTCTCTTCCACTCCGTCAAAAACTTGCGGTGGATGCCAGATTCATGAGACAGCGCGTGCACCGAGACCGCCACATCCAGGCGCGCGAGCCACTTCAGTTTTTCTTGGGCGATATAAGCATGACGCTTGTGCTATGATGGCTTGTGCCTGGAAGAGGGGGGGCGGGCATCACGGTTCTCAGAAGAATGTTGGGGACGCTTGTGGTTAATAGGCGAATACGACGATCGGTGGTTTTGCAGATAGGCCATCGCGCGACCAGTACTCGACGACGTCGTCGTCGTCGCCGCCCATGGCCCCCTCGGAAAACGCATCGACCTCGGTGCCGGCCTCGGTGCCAGCCTCGGTGCCAGTCTTGGCGCCTTTGTCACCCTCGGCGCGGTGCTCGTCGTCGGCAGCCACATCGTCTTCAGCGCCCACAACGGACTCGTCCCACTTGCAATCTTCAAGCTGGCCCCAACGTGGTGCCGACGCCGGGGCTTTAATCCACTCATCTGGGGGCTTGTTGGTTTCCGGTTCCGAGAGGTACTCATCGAATGCCGATGGCAGAAGGAGCGTGAAGACGGGCTGAGGGCCCATGTATTCTGGAGCCGGCGGATTCGGAGGAGCAGGAGAAGCGGGAGGCGTTGGAGGAACAGGAAGAGCAGGGGGGAAGGTGGCGCAGGAGGCTGTGGTGGCTCTGGAGGCTCTGGTGGGACATGGCTACACCAGCCATCACCGATGACTCTAAAGGCGGGCCTAGGCTTCTTCTTGAACCAAATGTGGGTGCCGGTGAATTCCGCCATGGCTTCCACAGCCTGGCGGGCAAAACAAGAAGACGAAATGTGAAACTGCAAGAATGGGTGAAGAAATGAACTTCGGAGGGGACCCCTTCAGGTTGGCGGCTCGAGGTCCTCGTCAATGCCAGACGCGAAACCCCCTGCCTGAACTCGTAGAGAAGGGTTCGCGGCTCCATACATGCTGCGCTGGCAAGGGATATTCGACCCCCTTCTAGAGGGTTCAGATGTAATGCACCTGCGTGGCAGCGCATGACGATGTGATTGGGCCGCACGGCAATTTCGCGTCAGCGGTGGCAGTTGCGATGCTGAACGCTTTTTGTGCGGTGGGAAAAAGAATCGCTACTATTTTCGCCTTTAAAAGCAAAATTCAATTTCAACATTTTACACGCGCATGCACTTATACCCTAAACTCAATTACAAGTGCCCCCCCTTAAAAAACCGATTTTATTGTAAGTACATCCGCGCTACTATCCGAGGCCATACAGTATCAGGATTTTATGAGGATTTGACTAATTTTCACAGTTTGATTTTTTCTGTAACAAGGCTGGTTTTCCAGCGTTTGTTTGTTTGTTTGATTTTTTTTTTAAAGCAAGAGCTGATTTTTCAGCCTTTTTTCTTATTGAACACCAATTTTTCAGCCTTGTTTTTTTTTTTTTTTTTTTTTCTAAATCAAAATACTGATTGGTCAACGTTGTATCCAACCTGTACTGTATACTGAATGCGATAGCGACAGGTTGCCCATAGATTTCCCACAAATATAGGGAAGCCCGAACTCGCTCGGCGCCAACACTGCATGGCGGGGACTACTTGACAAAATCACCCTCACATTCACACTGAAAATTATATATTTAAAGTGTTCATCGCTTTCAAAATTACGGATTGTGAAAGTGAAGCTGATTGTGCATCGTCGAAGGGCGGTCATCGCCCTTTTCGAATATATATTGTGAGTTGGAGATCATTCTCCTCCACCCACATCTCTCATTTTACAATCGCTCAAGCTCATTTCCCACCCACCCTTCCCAGGCTAGTAATCATTGCGGAGTAGTACCGATAGTTCTTAAATATATAGTTTTGTTACTACAGTGAACGAAATAATTGTCCACATGTTCATGTTTCAAGACATGAACGGGCATTAGTGGCCATGGTGATTAAGCCTTA